CCCCAAAACCCCAAAACCCCAAAACCCCAAAACCCCACAAAACCAGTAAAGGTTGAGTAAAATGATTACAATAAATAGCGTACCTTAGCTATTATCTTCATAAAACTCTTTATTATAAGCCAAATCCACTAGGAACGCTTCCTCACTTTCCATTTGACTGATAACATCCTCTGTTTCTATCGTCTCTAAGTCAGATTCATTATTAACTTTCTTGAGGAACTCTTTAGGAAGTGAAGTAAGGGCAACTGCTAAATCTTCACTTTTGACTAAAAACACAAAATGGCAAGTTTTCTTTATCTTCTTAAGCATAGCTTTAAGAATAAAATCTTGTGGGATAAATCATACTATATTAGCACGCAAGTCATCATCCTCGAGACACTCTTCTATTTCTTCGTAAGGTCAAACCTTGTCTTGGCCAAAACTTAGGGTGTGCTTTTTCTCTACCTCATAATCTTCAAAAACATTGGGTAATGAGGCGTAAAAGGCTTCAAAATATTCAGGAATTGACGACATTGAACTTTCTGAGGACTCTCAGCTTTCAGGCTTCGAGTCATCACGAGAGTTCACTTTTTCCTCTTGTGTCTGATTCTGTTGGCCTATTTGGGAGAGATTGGGAAGCTCTTCGTCTTTTTGAGAAGAATCCTTGCTGTCTTCCTTCAGGGTTGAAGATGATCCTTCGGAGTTATTTACATGGTGGTCAATAAGGAGTTCAGGCTCTTGGGTTTGATCCTTTTGAGGCTGGGTTATTTCTTCTTTGTTTTCTGTTTGGGAAACCGAATTGTGGTGATTTTGTTTTGTTGTTTTTTCAGGTTCGTTGTCCTGATCTGCGTGAATGTCTTGGTCTTGGTGAGAGTTTTCATTATTCGATTCATCCTCATGAGTATACTCAGGGTTTAGAAATCTAGGTTCCTGTTTTTGGTCATTAGGATCATCCTTTTGGTCCATCTTCCCTTTCAATTCTTCTGTTGTAGGAGCTGGATCGGGTGGGGGATCTCGAGGTCTGTTCTGATAAGTTTGAGGATCCCTATTTCTAGCTTCTTGACGAGCTTCTCTAAAGTTTTGCCTCTGAGGTCTCTCCTGGTTTGAATTTGCTCTATAGTTAAAAGATTTACTTACATTAGCTTATTATTCTCCATTGGAATATACCTTCCATGTGTAGAAGGCTTGGATGCTTCTAGCAGTTCCTTTTCCTTCTTCTGCTCATAACTAATCTTCTTCTTATTCTTCTGATAGCTATAAGTTTTCTCTTTCTTCTCCTTTTTAAAGAAGCCTTTATAGATATCACTATCCAAAGGATTTCTAAACTCCATTGGTCATATTTCAGCAATCTTCCTTCTATTATCAAACGGGTATTCATCTTCATTCCTCTCAATTTTAACGTTGCTCTTCTTTTCCTCAAATTCATGGTTTATCTGGTTCTTAGATTCTTCCAAATAAACCTGTTCTTTCTGTTCTTCTGGCTGCTTCAAAACTTTCTGCTGGACAGCTTTTTGGATGACTTCCTTCTGTTGCACTTGCTCTTGCTCCTGCTCCTGTTGCACTGCTACTAATAAGTAAGGATGCTTACCTAGTCGGTCAAATTCTTTAAGCACCTTGTCTGCTATATTAGCTCAACCCAGGCGCCATCCAGCACTTCTTCTCTAAAGAGTAAGACTAATGCTTACTTCATGTTTTCAAGGTTGTTCTTCAAAATTTTAGTTAGCGCTTGCTTTAGAGTTTGGGTGTTTAGCTCTCTCGATTGTTGAAGTAAAGAGTTAAAGTCTCCACTAGCGTTTTCAATCCTATCTTGTATCAACTAAACATCATAAGTAATGAATCCACTTTATATTTCAGTGAAAAATTCATTAATAATCCCAGAAATGATATCAGATTATTGTAAAAGTTAACTGGAAGTGCAAATTTCGAGATATAAAATTACCTTTGTTTCTTCACTAGCTTCATTAACTTCATTATATTCATAAGGGCGATTTCTCCTGTACATTTTTGAGTTCCTTGTTATTAATCAAAAATTAAATTAATGTTTATCAAAATAGACTAAAAGGGGTTTTGGGGTTTTGGGGTTTTGGGG